AAGAAAGAAAAGGATGCTGCAGAATCGAATGATCAGGCTTTGAATGCAATCTTCGGAGCGGTTGACAGAAATCAGTTCCGTCTTATCTCAAATTGCACAGAGGCTAAGAGAGCTTGGGACATTTTGCTTATTACTCATGAAGGCACTACAACAGTCAAGACAGCCAAACTTCAGATCGTGATGTCTAAAATTGAAAATCTTAAGATGGAGGATACTGAGTCTATCACAAACTTTCATGGGCGAGTTAGAGAGTTGGCAAATGAGGCTGAAAGGCTTGGTGAACCAATTACAGAACACGAGTTGGTGTTGAAAGTTTTACGTTCTCTTCCAGAAAAATACTCCATGGATGTCAAAGCTATTAGACAAACACAATCTCTAAATACTATGTCTCTTGACGAGCTGATGGGGAACTTAGAAACCATTGAGTTGGAGATGCATGAAGATCTACGGCGTAAAAAGCAGCATGTCATCCTCGTTGAAAAAGAGAAGCAGTGTGTTAAAGACAGTGCTGGAACAGGCTGTGCTTTTCCAACTTTCCATAGTGTTGACGGTGAGTCTGGTAGTGACGTGGATCCAAAGGAGATGCTTATAATTGTTGAAGAAAAATTTCAAGAGTCTCTACGGGTCAACAAGAAAAAATGTTTGGAAAATGATAGCCTCAAACGTGAACTTGCTGAATCAAAACGCGATGTGGAACAACTCATCAAAGAGTTACGGAGATACAAAGGTAAAGTTACAGCAGAGGATGACACAGAGGATGATACAGAAGATGACACAGAGGCTGACACAGCAGAAGAGCTAGCTATTCTCCAAAGGAAGTGGGTAGAACTTGTTCAAGCCAACCAGAAAACTGTCCTAGAGAATCATCAGCTTGTTGCCGAGCGCAATAGACTATAGGAGAGTAATTCAGAACTAGAAAAGAAGATTGAAGACTTAGAAGGGCAACAATCAGATCTCAAGTATGAATTAAATCAACTCAAAAACTTTCACAAGTGGATGAGAAGTGCTGGAGCAAAAGCTATTGAGGAACAAGTGAACGTTTCAAAATTTTATGGAAACAAGACAGGTCTCGGATTTTCAGGTTCTGAAAGCAATAAGACCCCACTTGACTTGTTTGTTGATCGAAGAAAGGGAATTGCTCAAAAAGTCCCACAAGGAAGGAAAACTGAAGCTGCTGCATCTGCTGGAACATCTTCTGCCAAACCCGCTGAAGCATCTCATGAAGCTTTTGCTAGAACAATTTATGCAGCACCCTATGCAAAAAGGCAAAGAGTTGTGACACAATCTAGTATGAGAAGACACAAGGATCCTTATGCTAAACCTGAAAGGTATTCTTATACTAATGTCTATGCTAATTATGTTTGTTTTTGCTGTGGAAAAAGGGGACACATTCAGAGGAAATGCAAGATTTTTAAAGAGCAAAGATACAGAAAAAAGAATGTGACAACAAGGATGATTTGGGTACCTAAGAATCAGTACAAAACAGGTGATAATCCTTGTGTGAAGGATGTTGCTTCTGATCAATGCCATGTTAGTAGTGCAAGCTTGCATCAAGAAGAAAAGAAAATGGATTGTTGTGCTGTTAAGAGTGCTGAATCACCTCATAAGTGTGATGAAGTGACACCTCCTAGTCATGAGAGTGTGAAGTTTATGGCTATGAAAAAACGGGCATTGGGTATGTGTAAAAGAGCATTTGATGGGAATCGGTTTGGTATGCTCAGATCCCGCTTGGGTTTGTGCACACCTATCTCTACCTGATTTAGAGGATGCTCTAAGAGGTGTTTCATCTCCAGCATGGAATACCTTAGAGCATAGATGTTTTTGCTGGTTGCATAAATGTCTTTATTTTTGCAGATTGTTACTTTTTCAGATGCATCGTCTGAGGGGAGTCGCTCAAGTGTGGCAAAGGTTGATGTGACAAAGTCTAGGTCTATTTTAATATTCATTATTGTAATGCTCAAGCTCGCTTGAATGTTACTCTTCTCTTTTTGCCCCAATATTCTTAATAAAACCTTTGGCATTTTTTATGCAAAAAGGGGGAGAAGAGGTTCAAAACAGCTGAGATTCGTTTTTGTCAAAAAATTGCCAAAGGGGGAGATTGTTAGTTCCATATTGTGTTGGGATTGTTTTTTGACAAACGAATGGATTTATCTAGAATTATTTTAGATGTTTTATTTAGACTTAGAGTCCTAGCATGTGAAGGAAGAGGAAGAGGAAAGAGCTTGAAGAGAGAATTCTAGTCCTACTTGGATTCTAATCCTATTTGGTTTACAATTCATAAGGAGGAGGCCATGGTTGAGAATCCTAAGCACACTCTAACATGGCTATTCTATTCTATTAATATCTTCACCCTCCCTTAGAGTTTTGGACGTGCAAACTACGAAAAACCAGGAGCAAATTCGATCAAAAGAAAAACACAAGGTGCAGATTTTGAGACTGTAAATTCTCTGGACAGCCCGCACAGATTTGATCATCTCCGGAGATCCGACCATTGGATTTTGCTGAAATTTTCAGAGGGTGTTCTCAACACATAGAGCTTCAACTTGTTAAAATTTCTTGTCAATCAGAGTTACGGATCTTCTGTTATCAAAGTTACAATCTACACATTGTTACTGATTTTTTGCAGAAAACGCAGCCCTGGTTTTCTTGTTGGTTGGAGTACCAAATCTTGTCTGATCGTGCTAAAATTTTAGGAGGAGTCTAAGGACTCGTGGAGCTTCAATCTGAACAGTGGAGATCGAATTTCAACGGTTCAATCTCGAGTTATGAGCTTCTGAACATCCTGCATATTTTTGTAGATCAAGAAGAATCTTTATTTGAAGGTCGATTGGAATCTTCGTCCTTGAAGAAGATCTTTGAGAAGGTGTAACAAGCCGTGGAGATAGACGCAAACCGAGTTTGTCGTCAAGTCATTCGTAAGTAGACAAATCAATACATTAGAAGGTTCTGTTGTGATTGATTGTGTAATTTTTACGGTGATTTAGTGGAAGGGCTGTTACACGGACGTGGGCCTTGCAGACGTAGGAGAATTTGTTCCGAACTGCGTGAACAATTCTGGTGTCTTGCTTGCTGTTTTTACTTCATATTTTGCGTGTGTGCTTGTGACAGAGAAGTGTTATAGCACACTGTCCGTCATCTGTTACTGGACAGTGCTGCAGCGTCTTCTCTACAACATAGTTGATTGTTTTGTTTGCATAGCTTGTGTTTGCTGTTATCCGCTACACCCCCCACGAACTTACAGATGCTGGACAGAGCTGGGTGATTTCAGGGCTGTTTGGACAATCCTTTTGTGTGAGCTGGACAGGGGCTGGATAATGCATTGGGTTTCTTGAATGAAATGACCATTTTGCAGGGCTGTTTTGGACCATTATGCAGGGCTGTTTTGGACTACTTGGAACAATATGGTCTATTGACACAAGAATGGATTTGGACAGTGTGAGGATGGATAATGGAGCTGATTTGTGGAGGAATCCCAAATCACTTCGAGATGGGTCTGATGTTTACTTTGCCAGTGTGGTCCTCCTGGCAGGCCGCCCTTAGTTTCTTCCTGACCCTTTCGGTTGGGGTTTTTGGAAGACTTTGGGCTATCTTAGCTATGAAGTGGATCTTCTAGCTAATTGGGCTTTTTCTTGAGTCGAGGAGGTTGTTTTCGCTGGGTCTTGCCTATCTATGTGTTGTTTCTGAACTCAACCGAGGGCAATACTAGATGAAGGCTTATGAGACTACTAGTGAACTTCTACTTCGTCTGTTGGGGGATGCTTTCCAAATACCTAGGGGGCACTCTGGCCGTAGACCTAGGGGAGGGGTCTGTATGGCAGAGTGGGGTCACTTTGGAATTTTCCCTTCGTGACGATGGTGGACAACTTCTGGCATTCGGGGATGGGCCCCTTGGCTTACTGGTTGAATCTAAGGCAAAAATAACTGAGCACCTGCCTTGGATGGATTTGTTGGATGACACACATTTTGGATTAATTTTTGAAGTACCTTGGATATAGTTGTTGGATCACGTGTTCGTGTGATTGAGTCCTTGGAGAGGGAGTATATGTGCTTGGCTTGTGATGCCACCAACATATACTCCCTCCATGTTCTGGTTTGGTCTACCATACCTCTGCCTGGTGATGCGGGGTACTGGAAGGTCCACAAGAGCCCGGACGGGGATTACTAGTTGTTGTGTTTGACCACCTTGATGTTTGTTTTGACTGTTTATTTGTATGGCCTGCGTGCCAAGTTGGTGTACTGTTGTATTGCTGTTGTATTGTTTTTGTATTCATTACATGCACGGAAACATTTCTATGGTTCAGCATATGACATTGATGTACCATTCTGATTTGGGGTAATAATAATTTACATTTTACCCTTGAAAGAGCTCTCAATAATCACAATAGAAATGGAGTCTGACGTCTTCCTCTCTCTAGCTGCAAATGAACAGTACGCGAGGGGGGTTTTCACGATTTCTCCATCGTTTCAAGCTCAAATCTTGAGATTTTTGGAGCCTTGGGTGCGCCTTCAGCTGGTGAATCCAATTATGAGGTTATTTCGCTGATTTTGGTTACGGATTTTGGTAGATTTGAAGGTCAACGCTATGC